GATCTGGACCCCATCCACTTTTCTGAAGCTTTCGCGAAAAAAATGATGAAAATGTAGCTGCGGCCTAGGCGCGGCGGGGGGGCCGTGCACCAGGGGTCCCAACAATAATTATTCTTTAGAATTAATAATGTTCAACAACAACAACAACAACAACAACAACAACAACAACAACAACAACCACAACAACAACAACAACAACAACAACAACCACAACAACCACAACAACCACAACCAGTTTGCCTTCATGCGCCATGCCACACGCATCCATCATGATGCCACCCCTGCTCGGGGGAATTGTATGACAAGGGGGCGATACTCCCACACCGGGTCTCCCGCCCAAGGGGGTCGAGCCAACACCTCCCCCGAGGCACCTCACCCCTCTCAGATCGCGAAACGCCTACAAAAGCATTGCGACGTTGGGGAGCGGTGAGGATTCGAAAAACGAAAGATTCGAGCCCCAGGGCAAGGACAAGATGTAGGAACATATGTGGAACACTGAAGATTCGAACCTTAATCGAGGGGCAATCTATATATACATATATATATATATGTATATATATATATATATATGCATACATACATACATACATACATACATACATACATACATACATACATACATACATACATACTAGAACCACGCGCGCGCTTCGCGCGCGCTTAGGTTCTGTCGAGTCACAGACCCAGGAATCGTTGTGAGAAGAAATTGGTGACGCGAAGCGTCGTGGGGGCGTCCTTGGACGTCTGGGGTCTCCTGGGGCCTCTTGATGGGCCTCCTGGGGGCCTCCTGGCGGCCTCTTGGGGCGGAAGGCTCGAGCTTGCGGTTCGTGGTCCCCCTCTGGGCCCCCTCTTGGGCCCGTCTTGGGGCCCTCTTGGGCCATCTTGGGCGCCTCTTGGGCCGTCTTGGGGCCCTCTTGGGCTGTCCTGGGGCTCTCTTGGAAGCTTCTTGGGCCGTCTTAGGGCGGTCTTGGGCGCCTCTTGGGCCGTCCTGTAACGTCGGAAAGCCCAAAAGGCGACTTTGTGGAAAATGTACGTTTTACGAAGGGAATGGGTCAATGTTTGCGTCTAGGGGCCCTCTTGGGACGCATGTTGGAGGCTTCTTGGGGCGTCTTGGGGGCGTCCTTGGACTGAGGGGCCTCCTTGGGGCCTCCTGGCGGCCTCTTCGGGCGGGCGGGGGTATTTGGGTATGTGGGGGTGTGTGTGAGTTTAGTGGGAAAAGAAAACAAACTAAAAAAAACAAAAAGAAATAAAAAAATATTAAAAAAAAAGAATAAAAATAAGAAAATTGATTTTTGATTTGTGGTGTTGGGTGTGTGAGGGTGGTCTCGAGCTTGCGGTTCGTGTCCCCCTCTGGGCCCCCTCTTGGGCCCGTCTTGGGGCCCTCTTGGGCCATCTTGGGCGCCTCTTGGGCCGTCTTGGGGCCCTCTTGGGCTGTCCTGGGGCCCTCTTGGAAGCTTCTTGGGCCGTCTTGGGGCGGTCTTGGGCGCCTCTTGGGCCGTCCTGTAACGTCGGAAAACCCCAAAAGCGACTTTGTTGAAAACGTACGTTTTACGAAGGGAACGGGCCAACTTTTGCGTCTAGGGGCCCTCTTGGGACGCATGTTGGAGGCTTCTTGGGGCGTCTTGGGGGCGTCCTTGGACCTCTGGGGTCTCCTGGGGCCTCTTGAGGGGCCTCCTGGGGGCCTCTTGGGGCGGAAGGCTCGAGCTTGCGATTCGTGGTCCCCCTCTGGGCCCCCTCTTGGGCCCGTCTTGGGGCCCTCTTGGGCCATCTTGGGCGCCTCTTGGGCCGTCTTGGGGCCCTCTTGGGCTGTCCTTGGGCCCTCTTGGAAGCTTCTTGGGCCGTCTTGGGGCGGTCTTGGGCGCCTCTTGGGCCGTCCTGTAACGTCGGAAAGCCCAAAAGGCGACTTTGTGGAAGATGTACGTTTTACGAAAGGAATGGGCCAATGTTTGCGTCTAGGGGCCCTCTTGGGACGCATGTTGGAAGTTTCTTGGGGCCTCTTGGGGGCGTCCTTGGACGTCTGGAGGCCATCTTCAGCATCTCGGAGCCCTCTTGGAGGCCTCTTGGAAGTTTCTTGGGCCGTCTTGGGCGCTTCTGGGGCCGTCTTGTCTGACCGGGGAGGCCTCCGGCAAGCCCCGACGAGCCTCCGGGCCCCCCGGAGCCCACATTTGCGGTCGAGGTCCCGGCCCCGGGCCCCCGGACCCGGTGCGCCGTTATATGTATATACACACATATATATATATATATATATATATTATATATATATATAATATAGGGGGGGGGGGACATACTCAAACACGTCGGATTCGAGACCCAGTCGAGGCGCAATAAATATAGGAACACACACACACACACAAAGACACAAAGGAGTCGAGCACCAAGAAAGAGGGTAAGATATAGAACCGTACGCAAAACATACGGGACTCGAGCCCCAGAGGAGGGGCGGCGAAACCCATAGGGGCAACGCCTACGGGGGGGCGAAAAGTACCCCCCGAACATGTCTTGTGCGTCGCAGCGCGGCAGAAGCAGTCCGCACACGCGCTCGGTCGGGGAGACGGAAGGCGCAAATTAAACGGCGGCAGGAGGAGGGGAAGACAGGCGAAAGCGGCCGCGAAGCGGGAGGGAGGGAGGGGAGGGCACTCACGTGGCGAAGTGCGTCAACGTGGAGCGGCGGGGGCGGCCAGCCAGTGCTGCACCCCCTGGCAGCGGGCGCGGAGCGGCGCCACGGCCACACCCAGGGGCTGAAGCAGGGGCTGCAGTGCACGAAACAAAAGAAGCACAGTTATCTAAGGGGGGCATGAATGACCACGTCGAAGACGCCCCAGTCTAGCGAGGGAACAAAAGTGGTAGCCAGAGACCCCAGGCGGCATAAAATGCAGCGGGTGTGGTCGAAGGCCGGCTGGAGGGGGGCGGGCAGAGCTGCCTGCTGATGCTTAGGGGGCCACACGCGAACCCTACCCCTACCCCCCACGATTTCTGAGGGGGAGGGTGGGGTTCATTTCGCTCGGGAGCTCCCGAGCGAAGTGAACCCCCCCCTCCCCCCAGAAATCGTGAGGGGTAGGGGTAGGGTTCGCGTGTGCCCCCCGGGTGTTGGCAGTGCTGCAGGGGACCGATCCCACTGGCAGATGGCCAGCAGCGAAGCGGTGCTGCGCAGGGGGCGGGGGCGCAGCAGCGCGCCCAGCCAGCTGGACCCACGGGCGGCTGGGCACCAGGGCCAAGGGCGGTTGCCCGTGACCGCCCTGGGGGGCGAGTATCGGGGCAGTCGGCTGGGGCCCCAGCAGGGGGCCACATGCGAACCCTACCCCTACCCCCCACGATCTTCTGAGGGGGAGGGTGGGGTTCACTTCGCTCGGGAGCTCCCGCACGAAGTGAACCCTACCCTCCCCCTCGGAAATCGCGGGGGGTAGGGGTAGGTTTCGCATGTGGCCCCCTAACCAGGTCGCCGTCCAGCGAGGCGGCGGGCATGCGGGGCCAAAAGCGGCGCGGCCACCCGAACACAGAGGCCTACAGAAACATGTCTCCTGGGGCCCCCCGGGGTTTCCCGTAGCCTTCTGGGGTCGGGAGGGGGCCGAAACGCGCCCCTCGAACACGTATCCAAATATATTGAAGGGGCCCTGGGACACACAAATAAATACACACAAATAAAATGATTCCCCATATTTTCCCATATTTTCTGGGTTTTTGTTTTCGCCCCCACTTCCCATATTTTCGCATATTTTCTGGGAATCGACGAATAATTGTGTCTGTGTGTTTTTTCCCCTCTTGAGATATGGAGAAATGCCTCCTGGGGCCTCCTGGGGCGCCCTGGGAGCGGAGGGACCACAAAGCGCTCCCCGAACCCATACCCCGATGCAGCAACATGCCCCCTGGGGCCTGCTGGGGCCTGCTGGGGGCGGAGGGACCGCAAAGCGCGCCCCGAACACACACCCCAATACAGAAAATTCCTCCTGGGGCCTGCTGGGAGCGGAGGGACCGCAAAGCGCGCCCCGAGCACGGATCCCAATGCAGAAAAAATCCCTCCTGGGACCTCCTGGGGCCTCCTGTGGGCGCGGAGGGACCGCAAAGCGCGCCCCGAACACGTGTCCCAATACAAGAAGATGCCTCCTGGGGCCCCCTGGGGGCAGGAGGGCCGAAAAACGCTGCCCGAACACGTGTCCCACTGGAGCGTCCGAGCGCCTCCGGGGGCCTCCGCCAGTGGCGGGAAGACTGCTCCGACGGCGTCCCGTGCTGGGACGCACGGAGTCCGTGCTGGTACTATATATGTTCCCCTCGAAGGCGCGCGTCCGACCCGAACAGTGTACCCATCTTGTAGTAGATCGTTTCCCGAGCGGTGCGGCCAGAAAGCGCCCGCCGCGACACATCTTTTTTATCCGCGGGTCGAGAGCGCACCTCTTCTGGTCGAACCCGCCGCGACACCTATACTATAAGATTTCTCGGTGCGCGCGTCGCCCCTACGGGGGCGACGCACATATAGTATAAGTATGCTGGGGTGACGCCGACGTGCTGTGGAACTGCGAAGAAGTCTCGAGCGAGACGGCCGTTCCGGCAGCCGCGAGTGGCAGCACGGCAACCTGGTTCTGAAGGACCCCCTTGTGCGAAATTGCGAGGAAGTCTCGGGCGAAACGGCCGCTCCGGCATCCGCAAGTAGCGGCAAGACTGGTCTGAAGAACCCCCCGTGGTGCTGAATCGCGAGGAAATCAAGCGAAGCGGCCGCTCTGGCATCCGCAAAGAGCGGCAAGACTGCCCTGAAAGACCCTCCTGTGTTGCTGAAGCGTGAAGAAGTCTCAGGCGAGAGCTCCCTTCCTGATGTTCGGACCCTCTTCGGCCAAGGCCTCTCAGACTAAACTGTGAAGGAACATCGCACGGGAACGTTGTTGTAGGTGGGGCGCCGAGGCGAGAGCGCCCAGGCGGATACAGGGGGTCCAACAATAATAGCTGCCTACTAGCTAATACTCAACAGCGACAGCATGATATTCCTTCTTCTCTGGCCCCCCGTGACTGGCTCCTCCAGGCAGCTGTCGCTGCGAGCCACGAGATCGGCCTCCAGGGGAGGCGCGCGCCGCGAGCAGGTGCGGCAGTCTCGGGAACCAAAAGAAGCCTCCTCCTACGCCTCGTCCTCCCTCCCACATTCCTCTTCCTCCTCCTCCTCCTCCTCCTCCTCCTCCTCCGCCGCCTCCTCCTCCTTTTCTTCCTTCTTCGTTTCCTCTTCCTCCTCCTCTTTCTCCTCCTCCTCCTCCTCCTCATCATCATCATCATCAGCAGCAGCAGCATCATCATCATCATCATCATCATCATCATCAGCAGCAGCAGCAGCAGCAGCAGCCTCATCATCATCATCATCATCATCATCATCATCATCATCATCATCATCATCAGCATCAGCATCATCATCATCATCATCATCATCAGCAGCAGCAGCATCATCAGCATCATCATTGTTATGATCATCATCATCATCAGCAGCAGCATCATCATAATTACCATCATTATCGTCATCATCATCATCAGCATCATCATCATCATCATCATCATCATCATCATCATCATCCTTATCTTCAGTTTCATCTTCATTATCAGCACCACCACACACCATTATCATCAGCATCATCATCAGCATCAGCATCAACATCATCATCAGCAGCAGCATCAGCATCATCATCAGCATCCTCATCATCATCACCATCATCATAATCATAAGCATCATCAACACCATCAGTATCAGCAACATCATCATCAGCAGCATCATCATCATCAACAACGATAGCAGTAGCAGTATCATCAGCACCACCAGCATGAAAACATCATCATGATCATCATCATCAGCAGCAGCATCACCATCATCATGGACATCATCATCACCACTGCCACCATCAACATAACCATCAGCATCACCATGACAATCGTCATCATCGTCGTCATCGTCGACGTAAGCAGCAATATCCTCATCATGCCCACCACCACCATCATCACCACCACCATCACCTCCATCATAATGGTCATCACCATCAACAGCCAACAACATCAGCATCACCATCCCCATCGTCATCTTCGTCGACATCATCGTCATCATCACCATCACCATCACCATCACCGCCATCATCGTCATCAACCTTCATCATCCGCATTACCATCATCAACATCATCACCGTCGTCATCATCGCCATCACCACCGATACCATCATCACAATCATCAGCTTCATCGTCATCATCACCGTCATCATCATCATCATCATCATCATCATCAGCATCATCATCATCAGCGTCATCATCATCATAATCGTCGTCGTCATCACCATCGTCATCATCATCACCACCGACAGCCTCATCCTCATCATCATCATCGTCATATCCTCCCCAAATGTCCTCTTCTCGTGAAAAGGGTGAGGGCCCTGGCCGCATCATTCGGAAGGCGAGTCACGACGGGCACAGAGTGCACCGTTACAAGACCAGCTAGAGACGAAGGCCGACACCACTCACACGGGCAGCTGCTGCGAGAGGAGCCTTGGGTGAGGGGGGGTGGGGTAATTCGAGGGAGGAAACGCAACAAAAGGGAGGGGAGGAGGAGCGGAGGAAAGGAAAGAGGAAAGGGAGGGAGACGGAGGGGGAAGGAGATGGGCAGGAAAGAGAAGGGGGCCACTCTTGCTGTGTTCTCGAAGAGCTCAGGGCGGGTTCTGCCATGCGGGGCTTTATCCGTCGGACGTTGGCAACGGCACGGTAACCGAGAGCGGAAACGGAGAAAGAATATGAAGACTAAAAAGCCACAAACATCAAACAACAATGAGCCCGGCACAACCCCAATCGATCGCGCCTGGAGGAAGTGGAAGGAGGAAGAGGGGAAGAAAACGAGCTGCGGAACACAACTGCTCTGGTGGGCCTCCCCCATCCCCCGGGGCGGGCGCAAGCGCACGAGGTAGTGCGCCCTGGCGCTCCTGGCCCTCCGCCGCGCTGGTGAGAGGAATCTTTGAGCACTGCCAGAGCCCTCTGGCGAAACGCTATTCGAGCCAGAACACCATAGAGGGTCCCACTTCTGCACCACGTCCCATCGTAGTCAAATCATCCGCGACACCGTCATCATCGTGAAAGGAATCGCCTTCAACGTCATCTGCATCGCTGTCGTAATCGTCAGCTGCGTTGGGAGATCGCAACCTATAGGAACACACGTGAGGGGTAATATATGAGAACATGCGTAACACATTAGGTTTCGAGCTCCAGAAAAGGGAGCAACTCATAGGAACATACAAAAAAAACATTGGATTCGAGCCCCGGCACTAGGGCAATGTTTAGAAACACACGTAAATATCACATGCGAGTCGAGCGACAGGAATGGGGCAGTCTAGAGGAACGTACGTAGAAATTACAGGATTCGAACGACAGGAGACAGTCTATAGGAACATACGCAAGAACATACTAGATTTGATCCGAGCCACAGTAGAAGAGCCGTCTATAAGAACAAACGCAAAACGCATAGGATTCGAGCGCCCCAGGAAACGGGCAATCGACAAGAACAGACGCAAAGCACATTAGATTCGAACCCCAGGATAAGGGCAAACTACAGGATCTAATGTAAACACACACACACACACACGTTTCGAGCCCCAGGAAGGGCTCGATCTATGGGCATATATTTTTGGGTCGCAGCGCGGCAGAGGCGATCCGCACCCGCGCTCGAACAGCCAGGGACGCACGGCATACTACTTAACCAGCAGCAAGAGAGGGATGGAGGAAGAGGACGGCGGCAGAAAACAGACGGGGGCGGGAGACACTCACCACGGAAAGAATTTCAGGATGAGCGCGCTGGTGCGGCCAGCCTGCGCTGAGGCGGCCTAGCAGTGGACGCAGGGCAGCGTCGCGACCACACCTCAGAGCTGAAGCCAAGGCTGCAGGCGCTCGAAGCGCTGGGCAAGGCGAACCAGCACGTCAGGAGAAGCGGCATGCGGGCCCACAGCGGCAAGAGCGGAAGCATCCAAGTGTCCGTCACGAAGTCGCAAGCGTCATACTTTGCTGCAAAAGCACGGCGCCAGCAGGACTTTAGGAACATACATCAAACACATAGGATTCGAGCCACAGTAGAGAGGCAATCGAGCCACAGTAGAAGGGCAAGATGTAGGAACAAATGTAAGACACATCGGAGTCGAGCCCCAGGAAGCAGGCATTTCAGCGGAAATCAACCCAAAACACAATAGTGAGTCGCATTTCTGAACCATTTCTGAACCGAGTTGAGCCAATACACCATAGTGAGCTCCAATTCTGTATCTGCGAGGACTGAAATCAAGCTGCAACACTATAGCGAATCGCATTTCCAGGCCAAATCGAGCCAGAACACCATAACGAGCGCTGCTGGACCGCTCTGCTGGACCGCCACCAGGCCTGGGAGACGCCTTCCCCCGGCCCCCCTGTGGAGAGTCTGGCGAGAGGAATATTTAAACTCTGTTAGAGCACTCTAGCGAAGCAATACTCGGGAGCTGATAGAACATGCACCTGCCGGAGGTCCAAAAGAGCCCGGACACGGCCCACAAACTTAAGGAGGGCCGAGAAAGAGAAGAGAGGAGAGGGGAGGGGAGGGGAAGGGAGAAGGGAGGGGAGAGGCGGCGAGAACGAGGAGGAGGCGGGAACGGGGAGGGGACGGAGAGGGGGAGGGAAGGGGGAGGGGAAGGACCAGGAGGAGGGGCAGGGGAGGAGCCCTCTGCCTCCCCTCCCAGCCCTCCTCCCCCCTCCTCCCCCTGCTGGGCCTCCCCTCCCCTCCTCCTCCTCCTCCTCCTCCTCCTCCTCCTCCTCCTCCTCCTCCTCCTCCTCCTCCCTCCTCCTCCTCCTCCTCCTCCTCCTCCTCCTCCTGCGGGGCAACAGCGAGGAGGGGAGGCACGAAAGAACGCTGCGCCCGCAGCGGCCTGGCCGCCTGCTGCTCGGCTGGAGCGCAGAGGCAGCAGGGAGTGCCCTCGGGGCGCCGCCTGCGCCGCCTCGTCCTCCGCCGACTCCGGCTCCTCCTCCTGCCCCGTGCTCCTTGTGCTGCTGCGCCTGCTCCTGCTGTTCCTGTTCGTCCGCGTCCTCCTGGTCATCATCGCACGCCTTCCCCGTCCTGTCTCTCTCCTTCTCCTCTTCCTCATCGTCTCCTTTCCTCCTTTTCCTCCTCCTCCTCCTCCTCCTCCTCCTCCTCCTCCTCCTCCTCCTCCTCCTCCTGCGCCCCACCGTCATCATCATCACCATCATCAACAGCAGTCACGACTCCTCTCCACCCGCAGGACGGCGCGGCGCTGCAGCCAGCAGGGGAGAAGGCGCGGCAGGCGGCCAGGGTGAGCAGCTGGCTGCTGGAGGCGATGCAGGTCGGCGAGGGCTGGCCACAGGCCCATGCCAACTGGGCAGGCCTGGGCATGGCGGCGGTGCCGTGCCTGGATCGCGACGGCCGGGCGCCAGCAAGGCGGCCGAGCGCCAGGTCGGCGGGCGCTGGGCGCCTGGGCCCCGGAGCTGGCTGACAGCGCGCGGGCCGAGGCCGCAGCGCCCTCGGCGGCGCCCGTGCAGCGGGCGCCCGCGAGGCCCCGTCGGCAGCGCTCTGCGGGCCGCAGCTGCGGCGGCCGCGGGGGGCACGGGCCACGGCGATACGGCGGAAGTCGACGACGGGCGCGGGCGCGGGCGGCAGACTTCGCGCCCAGGCAGACCTCGCGCCCAGGCCGCCGATGCCGGCGTGGTGGCTCGGCCCCGTGCACTCCCCCCACAGCCCGCGGACAGCGCGAGGGCTACGAGATCTGGCACGAGGGACACGGGTCCTGAGGGTCACGGCTCCTGGACCACGGGGCCTTCCCCCAGGACCAGACCTTCATCCTGAGCTGCTTTTCGGCGGTCCTGGAGCCAAGGGAGGGCCCCAAGAGGCCGAAAACGGCGAAAAACCTTCCGGTCGGGAACCGTTGCTCAGCGTGTCGCCGCAGCGGCCCTGTGACACGCTATGCCTTGCGGGCGGATAGCGGGTCGTTCCGCTCCGCGGGGCGGGAGGTCGGGAAGCACTCGAGACGCTGACGCTGGGGGACCCGGGAGCGGAGAGCGTGTCGCGCCGCAGCGCGGTGGGCCAGAACCGGCGGATTTGGACACCCGAAATGGGTACCGAAAGAATGGGTACAATGCCCAACAACAAATGTTGTCCCAAACCAACAGCGGCCGCTGTTGGACAGGCGGCCTTCTGTCTCGAATGGACACAGGCCGCGGCGGCGTGGACAGCGAATCCTGTTCAGAATGAACAGGAACTGCTGTTGGGCATCGTACCCATTCTTTCCGTGCCCATCTCGGGCGTCCAGAGCGGAGCCACACGAGAACTGCTGGGCCTGACCGCAGGTCCCGCCTCCCTCGGGGCCCGCCGCCTCTCCGCGGCGAGACACGGAAGCGCGGCCTGCGGACGGCCGGCCTCGGGAGGCCGCGCGGGGCGCCGGCGCCGCGCCGAGGCCGCGCCGCGCAGGCCGCGGCCGCGCAGGCCGCGGCTCGCGCTGCCGAGGCTCGCGCCGAGCTCCAGCGGACGAGGCCGCCGCGGCGTGGGCGCAGCGCCGAGGCTCGCGCAGCGGCGGGGCCGCGCCGAGCGGGCCGCAGAGCCCGCGGGCGCGCGCCGGGCGCCCCCACGGCGGCCGCGGAGCAGGCCCGCCGTGGCGCGGCGAGGGCGGGGGCGAGGCGCGGGCCGCACGACGGGCGCCCGCGAGGGCCAGGGCGAGGGCGAGGGCGAGGGCGAGGGCGGGGGCGAGGGCGGGGCGGGCTCCGAGAGCCCGGCGGGGCTGAGCCGCCAGCTGCCGCGGGCCCGCCGCGGACCCCTGGGGCCCGCACTCGCCCAGCAGGGTCCGAGGATACCGGAAT